TAATAGAAGCAGGCCGGAAATTAGAACCATCAAAACGGCGCGCTTCATTAAATTTGCAGGGTCAGGAAAAGACCAAAACACCATTCCGTGAAGCTCTCTAGAAGTAGCTTTTTTGAATCCCTGCAATTTGAAGCCATGAATCTGCTTCATAAATTTTATAGATCTAATGCCTATGCCTAACCAACTCCAGCAGTTAAGCATCTAAGCCATGGATTCTCTTCAATCGTATTTAGTACAACTAGTCACGGACCCAGCCAATTGGCCGGTTTCAATAATCAATTACGTAAACAACATTATCAAATTGTATGTGAAATACTTTCGTTTTGATAGTATAAGAAACTATAAAATAATTTAACAATATTCAAAATATTCAAATTGATTGGTAGAATAAGAGAATTGAAATTATTAAAGTACTTCAACAATTTAAAATGATCGATTTCATAGTACTTTTCAAGATTGTAACTGACTCATCAACTAAAATCCTTTTATGAAAATGAAAGATAAACCCGAACAGACTCCTAAAGACATTTTAAAATCACCCTTCGATGTATTCCTCATCGTGAGAGATTGCTCACTACAGGAAAAAAATTCACCTACGATCACGGGATTCCCGTGACTAAACATTGAATTCCCGTGATGGAAAGCATTTGTCACGGTTTAATCCCGTGTCAAACGAGCCCGTGATGGAAGGTCAAATATCACGGGACTTTCCCATGACAGAAAAGATACAATAACGGGAAATACCCCATGACAGATGATCTATTTTGTCATGGTAATTCCTGTGACTGATATTTAAACACGGTACCATTACCGTGACGAAACTATGATATAGTCACGGGACTTCCCGTGACTTATTGGGTCATTCGTCACAGGGTTTGTCCAATAGTCACGGTATTGTAGTGATTGTGATCAATTTACAACAACATGTTTTGTCTCAATGGTCACAATGACCAATAATCGTTGGTCCTATTAATCATTGGAAAATCGAGAAAGCTTTCGATAGCGTGAGTTAGGTATGTCTCTTCAAAGTTATGTCTAAATTGGGGTTCCCTCAGAAGTGGCAGGAGTGGATTCGCGGTTCGGTTTGTTCGTTGTCCATTTCTACGATTATCAACGGTGAAGCTAAAGGCTTCTTTCTTGTGGAAAAGGAGCTTCGTCAAGGTGATCCATTATCTCCTGGATTATTCGTTCTCATCATGGATGTGATGTCTTTTATGCTTTCCAAGTTGCGTGAAGCGGGAAAGATTAGTGGTTTCTTTATGGATGAGCTGAATGGTAGAGGGGAGGTTACACATCTGTTATTAGCGGATGATACGTTGCTTTTCTGTGAGGCCTCGTATGAGCACGTTTTGAACATTATGGCCACTCTTGTGTGCTTCCAGGCTGTATCGAGATTGAAAATTAATCTGGATAAATCAACTATGTTCCCCGTAGGTGACGTTCCCAACCCGGATTATTGTGCTAGTATTTTCGGCTGCAAGTGGAGCACGGAGCCTTCGAAGTACTTGGGATTTTCTCTTGACGCGAAGGTGATTGCTGCTTCTACTTGGGATCCTATTATCAGTAAGTATGAGAAGAGACTTGAGGGGTGGAAGACGAGGTATGTCTCTTTAGGTGGAAGATTGGTGCTCAATAACTCGGTGTTAAATGGCCAACCTATTTATTTTTTTCTCTGCTTCGTGCTCCTTGCTCTGTGTTGAACATGATTGAAAGAATTTAAAGAAGGTTTATTTGGAGTGGAGTTGGTGATGTTAAGAATTGTCCTCTCGTCAAGTGGGAACTTTGTAAGGCTTCTAAGGGCAATGGCGGGTTAGGGGTGTGCGATCTTAAATGTTTCAACAAGGTCATGCTAAGTAAGTGGTTGTGGAAGTTTGGGACTAAAAAGGAAAATGGTGGAGGGAGTTGATTTCTATGAAGTTCCCTTCGTTAACCTCGGACAGGGAAAGTATAGGAGATGTACAGAGAGGTTTGGAACGTCAGTTTGGGCCAACATCACTAAGGAATATGACTCTTTTTGGAAGGCTACTCGCGTTGATCCTGGTGGCGGTGCGTGGGTTTCCTTTTGGGACGATTGCTGGGTCTCGAACTCTACTCTTGCCAACACATTCCCTCGCGTCGCTGCTGCAGCTACTGACTGTCACGCCTGGATCTCTGAAATTGTCGAACATCAAGGTGAGAACTTAGCTTGGAATCTTTGTTTAAATGTTCAACTGAGAGAGGGGGGGCTGAGAGAGAAAGAGAGAGTCTTATGAATGTGCTTAACTCTATCGACCCTTATAAGGTGTCTTGTGGACCCAATAGACTCGTTTGGTCCCCAAACTCCAAAAGTTCTTTCTCAGGTCTTTAATGTACATTTACCATTCAAGCAATATGTTTCTGGGGCTGCTGGAGTTCCCTATTGTTTCTGTCTGGAGGAAATGTGTCCCATGAAAGATCAATGCGTTTATGGACTGTTGCTCAAAGGAGAATCCTTACCCTTGATAACTTGCAGAAGAGAGGGTGGGTCCCTTGCTAATAGATGTGTGTTGTGCTGCAAAGATTCTGAATCCATTGATCATTTGCTGGTCGAATGCGATTTTACAAAAGGAGTCTGGAACGAGTTGAAGAAAAAATGAAATATCGAGTTGGCCCCTTGCAGAGACATCAACACCACTATCCGTAGATGGAAGGCTGATTGCCATTCTGATCCTCATGGATGGATTGTGTATTGTGTTCTCCATTCGATCTGCTGGCAGGTGTGGCTCGAAATGAATCATCGTATGTTCAACGAGGGTGCTCTCCCAATATCCTTGGTATATCAGAAGGCGGTTTGCTCGATTGTCGAATGGCTTGTGACGCACGGAATGATCAACAGAGTTCAATGGCTGAGACCTAGCTTGAGTCGTAGACAGTTGTCGTAAAACGTTTCTTTTTTGGGCAGATTGGTTTCAGGGATGTTGTAGGCTGGTTCCTTGTTGTCTGTTTTGGTTGTCTGGCTTTCCTCCTTTCGTTCCTTATTTTTTGGGTTCTGTTTTTTGTGCTTTGGGGCAGGGGCTTCTCGGTTCGCCCAGCTCCTCTCGGCGCTCGCACCTCTTGTGCTGGCTATTTTGTTTCCTTTGTGTTTGTGTTTGTTCATTTGTTTGGACCTTTTCTTTTGGTTTCTTAATGCAGTGATCACCATTATAAAAAAAACAAAGGTTCTAGGGTTTCATTTAACTTAGAGGGTTTTTTGACATTCATGGTTGTCGGTAATTGTGGAGAAAGGATCTTTTAGGAGAGCAATCCATGTATAGTTATGAATATTGAGAACTCACTCCCATCCACCCCTGGAAATTATGGAGAAAGGATATTTTAGAAGAGCAATCCATGTATAGTTACAACAATTAATTTGTATAATTTCTTATTCATATTCATTTAGTTTCTTTGATTAGTCTTCATTATTTAAGAAATAAAAATATATTAAATGAGAAGCAATGTATGTGAGTTAAAGCGTTATCAATTCTAATAATAAATTATGACCATGAACTTAGAAAAATGAATAAATGAATAAAAGACACGGCTAGAAATGAGAGAGTCTTCAAAGGTGTTATCCCCAGGACAACAGTGACTTCAACAAATGCGATTAGGGACTTCACTTTTTGGACTACTCCTCCCCGCCTTGTCCAATCGGTCCTCGGATCCCATTCCCAGCACATCTCTGACCATTCTACGCTTAGTCTACCGCCTAGTTCTTCCCAATGGGTAGTTCACTGTGATAGATCCTTCAGATCGGAATCACATGTGGCCGCATATGGGGTCATCATCAAAAACCCCCATGTGCAAGTTGTGGATGGTAGTGCTGGGACCTTTTTCTGTTCTTCAGTGATAGTTGCGGAAGCTAAAGCCTTGTTGACTGCTGTGAGAATGACAGCCTCCCTTCACGGTCCTGCTTCAATCTTCTCGGACTGCAAAGTGCTTGTCGACATTATTCAGGATCCGCAAAAAGTTGGTCCCTGGCAAGTTAGAGCATGGATTCAGAGGATTCTCTTTCTCCTTCAGACGCATATCGGATTGAGTATCTTCTTCACACCAAGATCTACTAACAAAAGTGTAGATTGGGTGGCTAAGGGAGCGGCAAATGGATCTTTCCCTCAAGAATGGATCCAAGTGCTTGATATTTTAAATCCGATCTTGTAACTCGGTTTGGCTTGTACCCCTATCGTTGATTTGAATGGAAATTATCTATTGTAAAAAAAAACATTATTATCTTAAAATATATTAAAGGGGTTTTAGAAATAGACCCTGTCCACGTCAGCCTTGCAGGCTTTTTCATGAGTTTCGGGGGGGAAAAATTAATATTTTTTCGGATGGTCATTTGTAACTTCCACTTAATTTTGATATTATCTATTTTTCTTTGCTGTTTTTTTTATAGAAAATTTCTTTGCTGTTTTCCGAGGACCGTACATCCAGGGTATGGGCCCCACTGCGATCCCAATCGCCGCCTGCAGTGCAAAGATCTCGAAGCTCAACAGCACAAATACCGCTCCGCGACCGATGCGCTCATGCGCATCGGCAAAGCTCGTCCCGGCGAGCAACCCCAAGGAGCATCCGGCTAGCCTCATCCCCGCAAGCAGCAGCCGCCTCCGCCCTGCCATCGACCTCCCCACTCCGTGCAACGAGGCCATCGTCGCGACCAGCTTGCCACAGGCAAGCACCATCAGTACGACCGAGAAGGACGGCAGCGATCCGAACCCATTCCGTACGAGGATGACGGGTACGAGGTGGAGATCCATATGCTCGCACGTCGCCTCTTGGGCGACGAGCAAGACAGTGGCGCTGCACAGGTCCCGAGACTGGGAACCGAACCAGTCCTCCACCTGGGCCCAGAACCCGGTGATCCGACCCGGGAACAGATCCACCCGACGTGGATCGACTATGGAGCGGTAGGGGAACCCAGCAACGTGCTCCAGCTGCTCCCTCCTATCCCAAGGCTCCGCGCATGTGGCCCCATACCGCTCCATCAATTCCTCGGCGAGCCTAACCTGACCGATCATCATCATCCAGCACGGCGTGTCAGAGAACCAACGCGAGAAGACAAAGTCGTGAAGAACCCGGTGGGTAGCATGAGAGCCCCCGCCATCACCCTCCATGCTACGTGTCGTGCAACCCGGATGAGTGCCAATTCCAGATTGTAGGCCGTTATCGTCCCCACTGCCATCAGTACCTTGGAAAAGATAGAAATACAACATTGAACCATGTTACTACGTACGTAGAGGTGGCAATTAGGATCCAAATCCATGAATCCAATCCAATTCAATTAGAGGTGGCAATTAGGATCCAAATCCATGAATCCAATCCAATCCATCCACCAAATTATCCACCTAATCCAATCCATTTAAATCCAATCCATTTTATCCAAATCCAATTGGATTGGTGGATTCATGGATCAATCCATGGATCCAAATGGCAAATTATGATTTGGTACCTATATTTTTTATATTTTACATTTTGGTACCTAAAATTTATATTTTTATACGAAAAATATCATTGAAAATTTACATTTTGGTACCTAAAATTTTTCATTATGTCATTTTAGTTCCAAAAATTTTCAAATTTTACATTTTGGTCCAAGCCATGGATGTCATTTGGATTCATGGATCAATCCACCAATCCATTTGATCCAATCCATGAATCCACCAATCCATTGGATCCAATCCATTTGATCCATGAATCCACCAATCCAATCCACCAATCCACGAATCTGATCCAATTGCCACCTCTAAATCCAATCCATCCACCAAATTATCCACCTAATCCAATCCATTTGATCCAAATCCAATTGGATTGGTCAGGAAAACTGGGTTGGTAGGCCACCCATGTTTATCCTTGATGATCCGGACTTGGATGCTTTAGCCCACTAATAAAAGGCACATATATTATTATAAAAAAATATTAAAATGACTTACTATCAATAAAAAATGTAGTTGACTATATACATCCTTTCGAAGCTCCACCTCCAAACATTCTCAATAAATTAAAAGAAAACAATAAATTGTACACCATACGATTATTAGCTATTTCAATTTTCATATGTTATGGACCTATTGGGCTATGGGTATGGGCTTAGGCCCAAAATGGCTTCTCTTCTTGCGTACGGGGTTGACTTGGCTTATTTATTAGCATTGGAACTTTGAAGTAAGAAAATGAAGCTTATTTAGTTTAATGACTGATCGATCTACCGTCCATGTCAGATATCACTTGGACCTTTGATGTTTAGTTCGACTTGTCTTCTTGTTGGTGATCACTATCAACTACCCTCACTTGTTCAGGTAACAAAGTTCAGATCTTTGTCTGCATCCAGTTTGGTTCACTTTGCTGTTGACATCTTATATCTCATTCAAGTGATTGTTTGATGAATCAATTTGTAGAGTGCAGAGGCTCGAGAGAATGGAATGGGGATAAGTTTGTTCTGCAAGCTTTTGTGAAGCGCATCCTGAAGCAATTTCACCTTTGTAGAGTCAGGTATCCTTTCGTCATTGTAATCAAAACATGTACACATGATTTTTTTTTCTTCCATTTTGCCAAGTATGATTTGAATAATTTGTCTCCATGCAGGCCTTGAATCCAGACAGAGCTGTGGTGTTCATCAACACAGACATGCATGCTACCTACGCTTGTGGCAAAATGTTCGAAGTCGTTGAAGAACCTAATGGAAGCTTACATGGTCGGTGAGGTAAGTTTACTACTTTGAGTTCTCATTATCGAAGTACATAGTTATTTCCCCAACTTGGTCTGATTCATATCAATGATCTAGATAGTCAAACGTACTGACAAACAGTGGGACTGATGGCAAAGATATTGGAATCATCACCCCATACAACTCCGCAGGTAAACCTTCTCAAGGCTGTTATTCTTCCAATTTCTGTGGAAGTGCATACGATCGATAAGTATACCAGGTTGACATTTGGGACTGCATTTCCATTGCCACTTAGTTACTTAGATGATATAGCTTTCTGGTACTAATAATATACAATTTTTGTTTCTCAAACACAAAAAGCAGGGGTTGAGATAAGGACTGCATAATTGTTTCTTTCGTGCGGTCCGACCAATATCCCGGCAGCCACAGTTCTTCACTGCTTGGAGACTGGCATCGGATCAATGTGGCAATCACAAGAGCCAAGGTAGCAAATAACAGAAACATATGCCCGTGCATACAGGATTCAGGTCAGTTACATAAATTGTTTTTGCATTGTGCAGAAGGAGTTGATCATGGTGGTTTCGTGCAGAACACTGTCAAAGGTGCCATTGCTGAAGCTTCTGGTGGAGAAGGTCGAAGAGCAAGCCGACATTTTGAATCTGAGCAACAATAATATAAAACTGCAAGAACTGGAAAAGCTGGGATAAGGTGCAGTAGCTAAAGGGCTGTAGTTTAGATGATTGGATCGATTGTGTAAATAGTAATTTTGGTGCTAAACTTTATGTAATTTTGTTATAGCAAATATGACACAGAATTTGTAGTAAGCCATCTAATAAAATCTAATGCCTATGGCTAACCAACTCCAGCAGGTAAACATCTAAGCCATGGATTCTCTTCAATCGTGTTTAGTACAACTAGTCACGGACCCGGCCAATTGGCCGGTTTCAGTAACCAATTACGTAAACAAAATTATCAATTTGTATGTGAAATACTTTCGTTTTGATAGTATAAGAAACTATAGAATAATTTAAATATTCAAAATGTTCAAATTGATTGGTAGAATAAGAGAATTAAAATTATTAAAGTATTTCAACAATTCAAAATGATCGATTTCATAGTACTTTTCGAGATTGTAACTGACTCATCGACTAGAATTCTTTTATGAAAATGAAAGACAAACCCGAACAGACTCCTAAAGACATTTTAAAATCACCCTTCGATGTATTCCTCATCGTGAGAGATTCCTGCACATTTTCTTTTTGACTTGTTTGCACTTCCTCCTTAATGAGCAACATCATTATCTGCACCAATATTAATGTATTCATCTCTATTAGTGATACAATTATCTCGCCTATCAATTTCCTCCTCTTTCTTCTCTTGCATTTCAATTATCTCTTCCTTGTTTTCTAACATTTTATTGCGTACCAAATTTGATGGTAAACTATTTACATATGCCAATAATCTTTTTCATTGAGTAGAAATTACCTCGTCAATATCTAGGATTTTTTTCTTTCTCCTCATCACAAGTACTTGTATCTTCCTCATGAACAATTTCTTTCTTCTTCTCAAGATCATCGTCATCAATAGAACTGACTCTAGTACATCCACCATTAGCAGTCTCATTCTTGTTCTCTTGCATTAGCATTATGAATTAAGATAATTGACCTTCAAGGGCACAATACATGGTGTGATTTTCTAGAATCATATGTGTTAAAATATATTGGAGTTCATACTGTAGCCCGATACAATTGCTTGCATGTTAGTGCAAAAGGAAGCAACGTTAAGTTCCACCGGAGTTTTATGTTATATACAACATGCATTTGCTTGCCTATAGATTCAAGAATACAACTAAGTGTCATTTGTGCATGGTTTAAAAATTGAAGATATATATTTGTGCATGGTATACAAATTGAAGATGTATACACTTACTAATACAACCAAATAAGCAATTGAATGCACGCTAGTGGGTCATAAAGGAAAGTTCCTCTGGAGTTTTAAGTTACAATTAAATGTGGTTGTCAAAGTTAAACAATACAACTGAGTATAATCTTGCCTGATATAAGAGATTGAAGAACTATATACTTGATTATATAGCTAAGTATAATTTAGACATGGTATATAGTTGATAACAATTTATTTACTGGACGATAGATGCAATTAATTGCAATGGAAAATCAACATGTGATAAGTCGACATGGTAAGCAGGTTAGTTAAATAATAATCAGAGAGTATGTGTTCAAAAATACTCCAAATACAATAGAGAATATCACAATTTTTAATTAATATTGATTATCATTTTCATGCAAGTATAATTTACCTCAATCAAGTTAGGAAGATCGGCTAAATTCCGCCTTTCTCGTCCTTGTCTATCTTAGAAATCTTGTACACACTTGTTAATTAGCAATGTAATATGTGAACTTGATATCAAACTTCAACAACATTCCCTTAGTTTGTAGCAAGTGGTATTCCTCTCAATCTTATGTTGTCTTAATTGAAACGACCTTTCAGCCGACATCCTAGAAAATCCATAACCTAAGCGATCCATATCAACAAAGTAACCTCAATTGTTTTGTCCACAGATCAAAGGTGGATTATGAATAAGTATAATGTTAGTAATGACATAAACAACAATATAAACAAATACTTTTGTTGACAGGTTTCACATCCAGCATAACACCAATTTTCTTAACTTTGACTACTGTGTTTTTGACGGAATACATATTTCCCTACATATTACATAAAATATTAGCATTTGATAGTTAATGGGTTATTAAATCAAAATTGATACTTACCCCCTCCATCCTTCATTTTAGTTGATTTAGCATTTGCAGTTTTTGGTTAATTAGTTGTTGAGGTGCTTTCATGCTTTTCACAGGAAGAATTGGTCAATCTTAACCACTTATTTACAACAACAAAAATGAAAGAAAGAATGATAATCCATCCCCTTTTCTATTTGAAACTTCAAATTTATAACGTGCAACCAAATACGGTGATTAAATTCTCATGAATTTTTCAATGGCCCAAGATTAATGACTTCTGGACTTCTTGGATTCGTCAACAACAAAGTCGTTCCAGATGAGGAAAAGGTTTTCTCACTTGAAAATTTGATTATCATTAATTAAATGTAATATTTCTTTTCAAATGGTTTGATCGATAATGACAAAGTAATAAAGATGTTTCTTACCTATATATTACATAAAATGTTAGCATTTGATAGTTAATGGGTCATTAAATCAAAATTGATACTTACTTAGTTTCCATCTTTCATTTTTAGTTGATTTAGCATTTGTAGTGTTTTTGTTGGAATTAGTTATTGAAGTGCTTTCCTGCGAAAAGATTTGCTCCATCTCATTCACTTTTGTACCAAACAAAAGAATGATAATTAATCCCTTTACTATTTGGAA